CGATTACCAACGAATAAAGCTTTATGATCATTTGTGCTTTCAATTGTGCAATGTGATTTATTAAAAATAACTCGATTACCTTTATCACATAATTGACTAATACTAAGTAGGTTATAATTAAGTCCATCAACAAGTAAAACATTTTCAATAGAAGGGTTAGGAGAAATACCGGTACTACCAATACCGATGATTTTCCTTTCTTGTTGTCTCCAAAAATAACAAATCTTCCATCTTTCGATGATAGTTTAGTAAAGAATGATTTATCTCTGGTCATGTGTCTAGAATATCCATTATCAAGGTACCACTTCCCTTCTTTAGCTTTGGACTTAAAACAAACCTACAAGATGACAATCAAGTGTTGGTTTTTGGTACCCATAGTTTCTTGGGTCCTTCTTGGTTAGTTTTGTCAGATCCCTTAATAATTCAAATCTTTTTAATTCCTATGTTCATATTCTTTTTGAATGAACAATAAGATATATAATGGCATTTCTTTCTACAATAATGACAAGTAATATGAGGGTGTGTCATGAGAGGTGCCTTTTCAAAAATTGTATTAAGATTCTTTTGTTTTTTAATAGGGTCATATCCAATACCTACTTTATGAAAAACACATATTTGATTTCCAAGAAGCATGTTGAGATTATCTCTACCTTTTACAAAATTTTCAAGTGTTTTTGTTAAATCATCAACATTGTTTTTTAAAGTAGTTTTGTCATTAGAGATAGTATCAAAATCATTTTTCAAAACAATTTTTTCCTTCTTTAATTCTTCTACATTAATAGATAAAGATGCAACAGATTTCTTCAACACATTATTTTTGGCACAAACTTTTCTAAATTCATCTTGTAGTTTATGGAATGTACTTTCAAGTTCTTCATAAAGAGTAGTTACCTCATCTTGAGTAGAGTTTTCATCTTCAAGAGCCATGAGACATAAGTTGGCTACTTCATTTTCAATTTCATCACTTGAGCTTTCATCTTCACTTTCTCCCCAAGCTGCTACCATGGTCCTCTTGTTTCTTTTGTAGTCTTTTTCATGGTTTTTCAATTTTAGACAATCCATCTTCATATGTCTAAGATTTTTGCACTCATAGCAAATAATAGGTTCTTTCTTGTTATCTTTGTTGTACTCCTTTTTGAAAGGTCATCTTCCTTCATAATTGTTTTTCTTGAAGTGCTTTTTGAGATTTCTACTAAACATGGAATAGCTTTCATCTTCACTGGAGTTTTCTTGTTCTTCTTTATTTGATGAGGCTTTGAATGCAATTCCGCTTTTTTTTTTTGTTTTCAACATCCTCATGTCCTTTCATGGTGATCTCATGAGTCATAAGAGAACCCATAAGCTCATCCAATCCAAGTGTGGAGAGATTTTTGGTTTCTATAATGGCCGTGACCTTTGCTTCCCAATTCTTTGGTAAACACCTAAGAATTTTTCTCACAAACTCACTGTTAGTATAAGTTTTGCCAAAAATTTCAAAGAGTTTACAATTTCAGTAAATCTAGTAAACATACTTGAAATAGATTCATCAGAGTTTATTTTAAACAATTCATAATTATGACCAAGCATATTAATATGAGATTTATTCACTTGGTTTGTACCTTCATACGTTACCTCAAGTTTGTCCCAAATTTCTTTTTCCGAATCACAACTTGAAATTCTATTATACTCCTTAGAGTCTAATCCACAAACAAGGGTGAATTTGGTTTTAGCATTGGTTTGCAATAATTTATGATCTCTCTCAACACATTCATCTTCAGTTTTAGGTACGCTAATATTGTTTACTAATTTGGTAGGAATTTTTGGACCTTTGGTGACAATAATCCACATGGTATAATCAGTGGCTTGTAGGTATAGGGTCATCTTATCTTTCCAATGACTATAGTTGTTTCCGTCAAACAATGGTGATCAAAGGAAAGGGTCAAAAGGATCAAAGTGTAACTTACCCTTGAAGACCCAAACTTTTGTTGCTTCTTGGGTTGATTTGCAGCTTCTTTAGCCTTCAAGAATCCCTCCTAGCTGCTGGAAATGAGATGGTGGTGGTGGAGCTTGGTGGTGTAGAAGGAATGAAGGTTAAAAAGTTAGGGTTTTTTGAAGAATTGAAGAAGAAGACAATGGAGTTTAGGGACCTAGTATGCACTATGCTATGAAAATGAGATGCCTCGAAATGCGTGCACACGGGC